TTTGAGTTTTTTTATCTTTGATTTCTAGCATTGAAAAATTTTTTCGTCATTGATTGAAGAATAGCATTTTTGATTTCGTTTTTTTCCCTTTTTTTTGAAAAAAATTTCATGTTGGAAATTGAGCATAATTTTGAGGATGAATATTAGTTAATTTATATATATGATTAACTGTTAAGTTATGTTTATAGAAATATTTCTGTCGAGTTTTTTTTTTCCTTCTTTGTTTAGTAAAATTATACTGAAACATTTTCCATCGTTCGATTACTGAAAATCCTTTCGAAAAATACCCAAAAAATCATTAAAGAACAATAAAACGAATAAGTTACATTAATAGATGAAATCGTAATACATAAGTAATAGTAAGAAGATTGATAAGTAACATCAGATATAATTTAGCAATAATGCCAGGAAACGAAGGATGATGAATAACATCAAAAACAATATCAGTAACAGAGAGATAGGTAAGTGATAGTAAGAAGAGATAAGTAGCACTAATTAAATAATTAGCAGTAGGAATAGTTTAGCAGACGAGTAACAATAAAAATAAGCAGTAAGAAGTGTACATAAGTAATAGCAAAAACAATAATAAAAAATTAGGACTGAAAACAAAAAAGAAAATGAAATAAATTTTTACACAATGTATATTATTAAATTGTAATATGTTCATTTTTAATTCCAATTATCAATTCATTCATTCTTTTATTTCTTTACTTGCATTATTTATTTAATTTATTTAAAAAGAATTTTGATTGATTAACATTTTTTTTTCCTTAATTTACTACAAATTTGCCATTTACTATGCAGTTTGTTTTTTTTTTTCAAGTTTTTGAAATTTTTACAGATGATAAATTAAATCAATTAAAATATCAACATCGATATTTTTGGCCTTGGAAGATTATTCTCATATTTTTGATCATTACGGTTATTATTAATGCACTAATTATGCTACGGATAATAATGAACCGTGAAACAAACAATAATAAAATACCAACTTTTTGCACATTCATTCCACTGAATGATTTTAGGAAGCGAACATTAGCAAGTTTTAAATTACAACGGTAAATCATTTATTTCATGTTGAAATTTGCTTTCTTTAAATTTTTTTTTTTGAAATGATGTTAATTTTATCTGTTATTAAAAATTTATCAAGGAGAAGAAAAAAATCTTTGACATGATGTTGCACATTTGCAAAAAGCCTGATTATTATTATTATTAATCGAATACAAAAAGCCTGATCATTAATGTTGATTTTGATGCAAAAGTTTTGATCATTATTATCAACCCAATACAAAAGGCCTGATCATTATTCTTAACCAATTACTAATCTGATCATTCCTAAATATTTTTTTTAGCTTATAAATTCTCCTTATAACAGAGAAAGTTTCCTTTGCCTCTTTTTTCAAACTTGCTAAATTTCAAAAATGAAAACTGTAAATTGGATGAAAATTTTCTTACTTCAAGAATATTTTTCGAATTTGCAATCTTTTTTTTTGCTGATTTTAATTTTTATTTTTTTCTTTTTCAGGCCATTACTTAGCATTGATATGAACAATAATTTGCTCATTCTCTCATCATTCGAGAATCGTACCGATGAATTATTTGTTGAACAATTAGCACTTGATGATTTTCAAAATGGATTTATGCAAGTTTTATTTGAAAACAATAAATGGAAAGGAATGTTTTTTTTTTTTAAATTTAGTCAACAAATCAGATATTAAATCAGTTTAGCATTTTTTTTTTCGTTGTATATAATTTTTATTATTCGATTGGTCATATTTGCTAAGCATATTTGGCTTAAGAATTTTTTTTTTTTTGCAAATTTCATACTGATACAAGTACAATTTTAAAATGAACATCAATTAATCTAATTAATCATGTGATTATCATCAAAATTCGACAATTATAACATAGTTTTGCATACTTGCAAAACGTGTATATATACGTGAGGTATGCTTGTTGCGTCATTGATGCTCCTTTTTCATCATTTTCTTTTAGCTCGAAGAGTATCAAACTTAATGATGGGATGAAAAATTGTCAACAACTTTCATCATTTGTTTATTGTTGTGATAATGGTTCACCCGTTGATAGAGGAACACATTGTTTTCGTCAAAGTAAGTATTCCAATATTTCATTGATATATGTATTTTTTTTAAGCATTTCAAACAATTATTCCTTATTTCTTAAAGCATTTTACAAAAAAATTTCAAATATTAGAATTATTTACGAATAATTTTGAAATGCATACATAATTTATATAAAATTAGTCGGATATAATGCATTAATATATCCGACTAATTTTATATAAATCATGGAAAACAAGTAAATTAAACATTTTAATTTTGGCTTAAAAATTTCTAATCCTTTCAAGTTTGCATATTTAATTTATTTCGCTCATTCTAATTTATCTTTTATATTAAATCATCCTTTTAATGCTTGAAATTTTGAAATGGAAATGAATTACATATTGTTAAATGTAATATAGTTGAAATACCTTAATTAAGTTTATTATTTGTAATTTCAATTTTTCCAAACAGATAAGTTAAGTTAAAAATATGAGTGAAGAAATTTTAGAATATTTAAATTTTGCTGAACATTTTTATGAGAACAATATGCAAATGACTCATATATGGCAAACTTTATCAGAGGATGAAACAGTTATCTTACTTCAAAATTTAACTGGCAAATATGGCATATTTGATACCAAAAATGGCAAGTAAGTTTTTCGTTCTTTTGCACAAATTCCAAATAATTTATAATTTGTAAAATCAAATATTTTGAAATAAAAAAAATTAAAAAAAATTAAAAATTGCAATTTTTGAGCTGAAATTTGAATTAGAATGTAAAAATTTACAAATATTATGTTTGTCTGTTTATTTTGATTTCAGTTCAATGCCTATTTTGGATAATGAAGATTATTCAAATTTGATACCCGTAGCATTCTTCTTTGGAATGGACAATGCTAAAGAATTAACTGAACTCGGTTACAATTATTCCAATTTATTACCTTTTCCCAGTTTTTTTTTTTTTAAATTCTCTTTCATCCCTGCTTAATATTTCTTATTTCAAGACAATTTGTAAAATTTGATTTGGAACTTTGAAAAATTAAAATATTCCTGGATTGGATGCTTGCTAAAATATCCTTGGCTTAAATCATCTTATCTTCATTAGGCCATCAATTTTAGTGAACGAAGAAGTTAGCAAACTTGATGAGAGCGCATTTATAATTTGAAATGATATATTTACAAAAAAAACACTCGTAAACAAATTATAGCATCAATTTGATACTATCAAATTCAGCATCTGTTCTACTTATCATTTAAGCTATTGAGGATATTTGAAAATTTAATTTCAATTATAACAATATAAAATTAATAATTTTTTCCGGCAAAAGTTGAAAAATCTTTTTTTATACTTTTAAAAAAGTGAATTGGGGAACAATTTTTTTTTTTTTTAGCTCAAGATAATTACAAATTTTATATTTGCGAATATCTTCGTGATTCAAAGCATCGTTTTCTCCTACAAGAATGTTATGAAACAAAGTATGTTGGTTTTGAAGCTTTTTACTTCAAATTTTTATTCATCAAGCAAATATTTAAACGAAATTTTCAATAATAATGTAATTTTAATTAATTTTTACACTTCATAAATATTTTTAAAATAACATATAGATTGCTTAAATTGGAAAATTTTTCACACATCAAATTTTGTGCCAATCCAATCTATCAAGCAATCATACAACTTCGCAATGTTTACAAAAATATCAAATGGCAATTACAGGTTACTAGCAGTTTTTCTTTTTTTAGTTTGATTAAATTAAATGATTTGAAAGTTTTAAAAGATTTAACACGATTTTTTTCTTTCTTTTTTTTCTGAAGGAGAGCATGAGAACGAAATTGAATTTTATATCTAATTTTAAATTCCTTGATTATTTTTTGAAAACGATAACAGTAATAATTTTTTATGCCTATTAAACTTGTAATTTTTGCTTAAATATTTATGTTGGCATTTTTTTTAAAAAAAAAAGAAACGTTCTTATTTTCTAAGCAAAATTCAAAAAATTATTTATCATTCAATTTAATTGAATATTAGACAATTTATTATCTTTGCAGGTAACATATACAGCAACAAATGGTATCACTGATAATAACATTTACACTGTTGATTCCGTTGATTTAATCACCGATCAACAAATTGCAATGATTTGCTTACCATTTAACATTGATATTTATTTAATTTCAAATAATGTTATCGTACATTATGCTATTGATTTACCTAAAGTTGATGGTGAAACATTAATTGGCAATTATTTTTGAATGATATATTTTGTTGAAGCATCATTATGAAGAAAATATAAGATAATTATATTGTTGTTAACTCAATTTATCATCATTTTAAATATAATTCAAAAAAAATTTCGAACAATTTCTCTTTTGACTTTCTTTTTTTTTTCTGTTTTTTGCTGATTATTTTAAAAAACGGATAAAAAATTATTTGTGTTGCTGATTTTTGAAATGCGTTATGCGTACATCATTGCAATAAAATATAAATCATTAACAATAATTTGTTTGCTTTCAACTTTTGCAAACCATTCATTAATTAAATTCGACTTATTTTAATATTTTATAAGTATATCTCAATACAGATAAGTTAGTCAGAATTTTGATTTCACATGAGAGTGAAAATATATTCAATAAATAAATAAAATGAAGAATAAAACAAAAAAATAAGTGCCGAATGAAAAACTTGAAAGGTAGAATGTAAGCAAAAGTTTGAAAATGAAAGGAAGAAATAATAATTATTTATGATAAAATATTGGATTGAATTCTTTTTGCAAGTTGCAGTAATTCATTGAAAAATGTTGGATTGTATGTTGAATTGATTTAAATTTTTAAATTATTTCATTAAATTGTTTAATTTAATTTGTCAACTTGTTAACTTTTCTTTTCAAATAAAATGTTTTTTACTTTTTTTTAAATAAAAAGATTTATTGTTAACTTTTCTTTTTAAATAAAATGTTTAGCTTCAATCACAAACTTTTTTGTTTTACAAAAGAAAATGCGGAAAATAAATTAAGGGAACAAAAATGTGGGGAGAAAAAGAAATAAATTACGGAAATAAATTGTAAATTAAAAATTAAATAAATTACATTTCATTATGATTGACCTGTTTTTTTTTTGCTAATTACCAAAATTTTAAATTTTTTTCAAATTGAAAAAAAAAGCAATAAAATCATCTGGTATTTTTTTGCAGTTCAAATAATTTGCAACGTTTCAGACAATTTCAGACATTTTCATTTTGCAAACGAAAATAAGTTTGTGATTAAAGCTAAATATTTTGTTTGTGGAAAAAAAATTCTATAAGCAATAGCTATAAAATGAAATATAAATTATTGCTTTTGAGAGAAAGAGAAAAATGTTTGATAATAAAAATTTTATTGAATTAAATTATTAGTCGTAAAAACTTTTTCATTCCAGTTTTTTATTTGCAACAAATAGTTTGTTTTCTTTCATTAAAATTATCCTTTCTTCTTTTTTTTTTTCGTGAAATCTTTTAGCAACATATGTTTTAAAATGTTAAGAAAAGATTTTTATAATTTTGGCAGCAAAATTACCGTAATTTATAATGCATGCTCTGCTGCTGTAATTTCATATTTTGTTGCAGTTTGCAGTTGCAGCAATAATTGTTCGCGTGACTTAAATTCCAACAAAAATTTGATCAGCGAAGAGAATAAAGCAAATAACATTTTTAGATTGGAATGTATTGAAAAACTGAATAAAATTCTTTATCATATCAGAGTAAAAAGATTTTGACGAAAAAAATCCACATCGGAGCGCAATGATTTTCAAAATGTAAAGCCACAAATGATATGCAAATGTACTCGGAAAATTATTTGATTTGAATTGGTTCTTATTATTTTTTAATATTAAATAATCACTTTCTGGTTTCGATTATGCCATGAATTTGATATTTTAATGAATATTTTAATATCAAATAATCGTTTTCTGGTTTCTTATATTTAATTAATCCGGCAAAGTCTTAATTCATAGCTGATTAAGTAATTGATAAAGGAATTGGAAAATGTTAAGAAACGCAATGTTTAGCAATACAAACAGTTTACAAAACGTTATCAAATTATTCTCCAATATTTTCACGATTTCACGTATCTTCCGTGTGTAACATATCTTTAAACATTATTGTTTAGTTCAAAATTGTTTTTTGCATAATTATTAAAATTTTATTTTAGCTAAATAATAATTTTGCATTTCCCGAGTATGAATAAAAAAGGAAAAAGTTGATCATTAAATGAAATTATATACAAACAAAACAATCCTTGAAACTATGATAACTTTAATGATAGCAAGAAAACCCAATAATTTTTCCGTAATTTTGAAAAATTATTTCCAATTCTAAAAAGGAAAAAAAAACAGATAAGAAAACATTGTTACATTTAACTTGATAGCGAAATCGTCCCGATGAATTACTTCGAATGATTTGACATGTTCAACGTGATATTCAACGAGATTAGTGTTAGCATTTAAGGTTTGTTAGATAGTTTTAGCATTCCTCATCATTAATGATTTACGTTCAACAAAAGGTGATCTGCTTAATTAAGAACTAAAATAGCACGAAATATTACTTTCATTTTTAGCTATCGTTATTTTTAATAAATTTGTAATTTTTCTTGGTTTATCGTTATTTTTAATATCGTTATTTTTAATAAATTTGAATTTGAAAATTTAATCAATTCCAGCAAAAATATTCTTTTTCATTCATTTTTCTTTTTTTTTTAAAAAAAAGACACATTCAATTTTTTAAAATGCACTTTTCAATAATGTAACGAGTATAAAATTTTTGGAAAATTTTGATTATTCACATTGTTTATTTATCTTTCATACTGACCGGTAACATTTTTATAAAAAATTGTGCAAAAATGAGTACTTGA